GCACTCAAAATGTGCCATGAAAATGTTCACACATTAATTTCTATATATATATATATATGTCTCGCATATAATTCATTTCTCTCTCTCTCGCTGACTTGTGTTGCATGTGACTAAATGTATCTGACAGATACATAGCTGTGACACTCAGTTTGTTGGCTGGTTGCACTTGCAACTGGATAGGCCTCTGGGTAGGCCTCTGGGTAGGCCTCTGGTTGGGTGCTGCTGCTGCTGCTGCTGATTTTGTAATGTACGCTTATTATTTAACTTTCTTTTAAAAACTAAACTTTTTTGAGAGTTAAATTTGAGTTGAGTTGGCCAGGGGCGGAGTTCAATGCGCTTAGCTTTTCCTTCATTTTTGCCATCAACTTTCACATTTGGCGTGAGTGCAAAATCAACCTTTGGCACTTCCTTCTCCAGTCGCATTACTCGATGTAATATATATATACATATATATGTATATGTGTCATTATCAAATTTCCACATATGCGTATCAATTGCCGTTAAAAGAATTCGATTTCGCTTGTTGGCCAATTAAGTTGGGCAACTGTGCAGAGCCGTCTTGGGAAATGCAATTTGAAAAGTAGCTAAATCGTAGACGTAACTGCAAGTTATGTGTATCTATAGATACTACAACACTAGACGCACCCAATCAAAGCCCGGCTGCAGCGGCAAAAAAGAGCATGAATGACGTTGCACGCAGTTGTTGCTGCTTTTGCTGCTGTTGCTGCAACGAGCATGAAATATTGCCTGGCGTTGGCACACACACTGTTTGCGGTGAGTGTAAATGTAAATCTTTGCAAATTTATGTGGGAGTTTCTTTTCGGTAGGAAAAAGCACCCCAGTTTGGCAGCTGCGTGCAAAAACTTCACTAATAATAACCAACCAACGAAGCTAACACTTCCTGTAAACTCTCCCTGGGAATGAGAATGGGAGAATGCCTTTAGATCTCTACAAGATAAGTTTACTTAACTAAGTTCTATGTGCGTTAGAGTTTTGCTCGCAGTTGGAGTTGGAGTTGAAGTTGGAGTTGAATAAACTCCTTAACAAATGTAGGGAGAAAAATAAATGTGGCAGTTGTTAAATTTGACGCTATCGTTGCTGCACCTGTGAGACAAAAACTTTTTGCAGCAACTGTCGCTCATTGCATCAGCGTGCAAATATGCAGCTGGCAAATGAGGCAAACAAAAAGTACAAACAAAAAGGCAAACAAAAAATAAACAACATGCAAACGAAACTACTTTAAATGCATTGGAAAACTTGCTCGTGGGCCACACATGCGCAGTAGCCAAATACAAATAAGGTTTAAATGTTAAATGATGTGCCCAACAATACTTTACTATTGGGTTTTTTCTTTTCTTTTTAGGTTGGGTGTTAATCGCTTGCTTGGCTAGGAAATATTTCAACAAACAGCAGACGCGTCCCCAAAAAATAAAGCCAAATTAATATGCATTGTTGCAGTCGCTTATTGCCATGCATATTTGGACTTTCACTTTTTGTTTTCATTTTCAAAGCAATAATAAACACAGAAACAGACAAAAAAAGAAAATAAAATACATACTTATAATTTATGCCCATGCTTAACAAGTATTTGACGATTGCGCAGGCGCCATGAAATGTGGCTCAAAAACGCTATCGAATCCGTTGCGGCTCTTTTACATTTATTTCAATTACATTTTGATTTTTTTTTGATTGTACAACAAATTAATACATTTCCAGTTGACGCTTCCGAATTTGGTGGGTTTGCGTGTGTGTGTGTTTGTGATTAGAGCTGGTTGTGTGACTGAGATCCGACTTAATTGCTGTCTCTTTTCACTGGTTGCTTTGCGCCAAAGTCTTAAGCGATCAATTGAGCCCTCAAGTGGCCAAGGCAGGGGTTGAGGGGGTGATGGGGCTTAAGCATAACAACATAACTAAGCAATCAAAGTTACGCACTTTCGATTGCACAATCGTAACTTGTGGGGTTTTTTTGTTAATATTTTTATTGTCCGCTGTGCGACTTCCTGTTTAAGGTATTTTAAGTTATAAATAGTTGGTAGCTTGGTTCATTAATCACGTGTCGGTTTGGCAGCAGGTAGAAAGAAAGAGGGCAGTAAACGATGACTGAAACAGTTACACACACAAAATATGTACATATAAAAGGCACCTGCTGATCTTGTGAAATGACCCAAAGAAAATTGCTCTAAAATTTGTTATGTTTTTCTGTCTGTTTTTTTTTCGTCATCTTTGTTTTGAGTAATTTGGCCACAGTGCATTATGTGTTTAAATCGACAGATTATGATCTGATTTTTAGGAAGCTTAAACTATTTATCCAATTAGTTTGCCGCAGATGAAAACAGGCTTATCAAATTTTGCTTTCTATTCAAGTGATTTATGTTTAAGAAAAAGTGAAAATAAAAGTTGATATTAAATAAAGCACTTGCTTCGGTTAGTAACAGGTTTTCGGTTACATAGCTTAAAAATTGTGTTGGATGCTGAGTGCAAATTCTGTTTTAAGGATGACGAGATAATAATAATATTAATAATAATAATAAATCACTTGCTTATTGTCAACTCTAACTACACTTTCTAACAGTGTAAAATGTGAGTATAACAAGTTTACAACGCTTAATTAAGTTAAGCAAAAAACAATAGAAATGTTAGGGACTTAGTATTGCATTGCATTGACAATCCAAAGCCAGTCGAATCGAATCGAATCGAATCAAGTTGCACAGCCACAAGCGACAGCCAGGCAGGGAAGGCGACTTTGTCTTTGGCTTGACAGACTTAAAACTGGCGATTAGAGCAGATCTGAAGCCCAAGGGGCACATTGAAAACGGTCAGCGTGTGGCAGCTGAAACAATTGCAGCAAATCAAGAGTTAAAGACACCAACCGAGTTTGCAACGTATTCAATTTCCGCTAGAGATAGAGATGGAGAGAGAGCAGAGAATCTAATGGATTCGCATTGTGGCTATTTCCATTGAAAAATGTTGCCAATGATTTGTGCGCAATTAAGAAAAAAATACGAAGGGAAGTTAGGTAACTGTGAGAACGCCAAAGTCACACACACAGTCACACAAAGTGGCAAATTGTGTGTAAGTTTATACGCAAACAGTGGCTTGATTTTAATTACTGACCAAGTGCAGTGAACTTGGAGCACATTTCAATTGGTGGCAAACATGAAACTTTAGACGGGCTGTGAGAAATTGCAGATGAGTTAGGTGTGTGTGAAAGTCCAGACCCGTAGATAATGTTGGCCAAGTTCGAATTACCATAAGATATGCATAAGCAATGCAACAACAGACGCAGCTTGCCTGAGATTCAATTTACAGATAGTCAGCCCAACGCGACTCGTTTACCTTGGCGTCGAAATATTTATGGTTTATTTCAGTTTTATTAATGCTCAGTGGCCATTGTTTAAATAGCCAACAACAATTTCAATGAGCGACGTGGTCAAGTTTTGGTTTGGTTTTCGGTTTTGCGGGCCACTCAAAGAAGTTTATCAAATTACGTTAACGCATATTTAACTTTTTAAGTGGGTCAACAACACTGTCGCCAACCTGGCTGGCTTTTGGCCAAATTCGTGTTGATTTTTAGATGTGTTTGCAATCGCTGATTTGAGTCAAACAATTTCACGCTTGCTGGCGCATCTTTGGCGTCCGTTTTGACTTCCTTTCGATTTGATCTGGTTTTTGGCTTTAATGCTTTTTGCTGACTAATTGAATTATGTTGCACATTTTTTTGTCTTGCAGCTTCATGCTTGATGTGTTCCTTGCAACAGTTTCCATATAAACTTACTTTGCCTTTAGTAATTGCACATTATTGCCACAATTTTACTGCAGTTTTCCATTTGGATTGCTAACGTTTTTCAATTGGCAATTAAATTGCCATATGTATTGGCTAAAACTGTTCGACGAATTCGCTTTGATGCCATCAATTTAGAAATGTTTATTGCCCAGCCGTTCATGTCTATTTTTAACAGACTCTTAAATCTATTAAGCACTTCTTTCTTTTAAGTTGAATCTGCTTTAAGCAACTTTAATTTAGTTTTTATTCTTTGCATAGATTTGCCATCTTAATTAAATATACATTAGCTATTGCGATGCCAGCTTTCATAGTTTAGCATACCTTTTAGAACTCACTATTTACAGGGTATGCAAATTGAAACCTAAGATAAGTTTCTGTTGAAAATCATTTAACCGTCAGTTAATTGCAAGTGCAGTAAAAAGTGAGTCTAAAAAAATCAGCACAAAGTCAAAGAGCAACACAAAATAAAAAGAATTTGTCGATTCTCGCTTTTTTTGCTCTCCTCTTTTCAATAAACAATTTGAATTCGCTTTAATGATTTTTCCTGTTTAATAAACTCGTTCAACAGCAACAGCAGCTAGTAAGGGGTCGTGGGGAGGAGGGGTTAGAGAGGGGGAGACTTCGATTCTGTGAGCCGTGTTTTCAAGATCAAAAAGCGAATGGCAGTAGAAGTGTGCAAAACGAAACTATAAGAAATTGCAAGAAAGAACGCAGAAAACACAGAACTGCAAATCGACTGCGGAAATACATACATATGTTTGCCAAACCTTTCACTGCAAAAAACACGAAAAGAGTTGGAGAACAAAAATAAAGGTGAAACATGTGATGACCGCAAAGAAATGACGCGCAAATGACAATTGTAAAGTAGCACAAGATGCAACGGTAAAAACGGTAAAAAGGAGAATGGAAAGAGATGGCAGGCAAAGCATCGATGAGAAGGAGTAGGGGAGAAAGAAAAAGCATCAGCAATCAGCAAGAGTAGAAGGCAACTACGCAAAAGTCTGTGCGTATATCCACCACTGAGTCAGTATTGGGGTTGGGCTTCTTTTTTGTGGTGGGTGGGTGGCCAAAGGGCGTGGGTTGGGTTGGGGATGTGTATCTCGGTGGCTGCTGAGCGCATAACAGTAGCTAGCAGAGCTCTCTTCTGCTCTCACACACACACAGAGACACACGCACAAACACACACATAAATATTAAAACTAAAAGTCAAGCTTACCTGTAAAGTTTTGGTTTTTATTTTAGCACGCGTTTGACGAGCGAGCTTATTGAATATTTATGAAGGATGCGGAAAGTGTCGAAGCCTTGTTGATGTTGAAGCTGCAATAATTTGTAGGGAAATTTTTAGAGCATTTTTATTGCGCTGCTTTTATTTTATTTGATTGGTTTTTTTCTTCTTGCATTTTATGTAGGCAGCTGAAATTTTGCTTACAAATTTTTAGATTGTTGTGATGAATAAACAATTAAATATTTATATTAAGATATAAACAATAAATTTTTTTAATGATTTAAGTAGAATTGAGTTTTGTTGTTCTTTTTTAAGGCCCTGGGCTTATCATAGTGCATGGGCTCTGTTTTGATTGAGCGCGCGCAAAAAATTATACACAAAAATCCGAAGCACACACACACACAAATATAAACACATATATATGCGCACCCAGAAGAGACGCACCAAAAGCTTGGCCGAGACGAATGCTGGAGGCTGAGAGAGGAGAGCAGAGGAGAGGTGAAGAGTCGCCTCTGTAGCAGAAGCCAACTCCCGCTTGAGCGATTCCAGGCACACGCACACACACACACCGAAACCGACCACGACAACTTCAACGAACAGCAGCAGCAGCAAAAACAATTCCGACCACGACAACAACAAACGACGGCTGCAAACTGCGACGCTTGCTTTCAATAATACTCCAGCTTAGATCTGAATTCAACGGAGAGAACGTCTCAAACGGTGTCGACTGTTTGGCCCGTGCACACGAACTGAAACTGTTGGTCCGCAACATCAGTGCTCTAGAGCTGGAGCTCAAAAGCTCAAACTCACAGAGCTGGCAACATGGACTTAGTCGATGATTTGCCAAAGGGGGCTGCCTATGCAGGCATAATAATGGTATCGAAATACAGAAACACTTAATTTCTTCTGTGAGACTACCTTTCAACCACAATAACGTGTCTAAAGTATTATAACATAAATGTAAAATAATATACTCATTACATTTTCTTATGCTGCGCAATACAAATAACCCCCTTTGGTGCACGCTACTGGCTGGCTGCACAAATACATACACGCAGATCCACATGCATAAAAATAGCAGGTTGGGCCAGCTGAAAGCTTTCAGCTCGCAAAGCAATCAAAAGCGCGGCCAACGATAAAAAGCTTTCATGGTGAGCTCGCGGCTCTGGGTCAAGAGCTTTAAAGTGCAGTTTTTGAGTGGTGGCTGTGGTGAACTTGGCATAACGTTGCCAGACTGACTGAAATAGTATAACCGATTTTCAACTTTCGATTTGAAATGTTGAAAGATATTGAACAACTCATTTACTTTGTATTTTTCAATCAGCGTAGTCACAAAAAATAGCTGTTTAGTTTTGATAGAATCATGGACGATTGTTTTGCGGGTGCACCACAGGATTTTCTCATCTGTGTAACGGTACATAAAGCAGCTCAAACGGGTGTCCCAAACGGTGAACTCTATGTAAAAATCTCATTGGACAAAATGAGTAAAAATACTAAAACCTATACGAATTCAGAGAATCCATTTTTCAATGAGGTGCGCTTATATTATATTGTTTTTAATATTATTATTATTACTATGTGTGATTTGTAGTATTTTGTTTTTGAATTTCGCTGTACGCTGAGCGAATTGTTGCGCCTGACTGTTCTCTTCGAGCTGAAGAAGTATGTGATATATAAGAAGAACGTGCTCGTCGGTGAGTTGCTGATCGATTTGCACAGTGTTTGGGCTCAGCCAGGTCACAATTACTTTAAGCGATGGGGTCGCCTGGAGCTGCCCATCGGTGAGCGCCAGTCGGCACAGGAGAGCTCCAGGGAATCTTGTGGTTATCTACAAATCGATTTGGCCATTGTTTCCCAGCACAGCGAGGTGAAACCCCGGAATGACAAGGAAACGGCAACGATCACCAAATGGCCAACGGATCACGATTTCGATGATATAAACAGGTACGTTGTCTATAACAATTTATGGATTTATGTTCACATCGTATGTCATTAGCAATCTGTTGGAGGATGTGGATGCGAATGCATTGAGTAACATTCGATATTTCATCAGTTTCTATCAAGGATTTTTTGTTAAGAAAAGCAATTACATGATACAAGTCTCGTTCGCTGGCTTTAAAGTATTTTGAGTGGACTCTTGGTTTTTTTTTAAGATTTATTAAAGATTCCATTCTCCCCTTTCAAGGGCAAAACACTTGTGGCGAAGCATACAACGACACCGGTGTGGAACCAGGAGATCAGCTTCGCCTGGGTGTATCCATCGCTTGCCCAGCGATTTCTCATCCTTGTCATGCAGGAGAATGTGCAGTGGAAATGCATTGCCGAATATGAGTTATCCTTCGGGGATATTGCATTCAAAGGCTAGTTGGAGCAAGAGCGATTCCTCATCCATTTAATTAGCATTATTTTCTTTCAGGTAAGCCAGCTTTTGGCCCAACTTATATCCATCTTTACGATCCCACAAGTCCGTTGACTTATGTGGGTCGCATTTTGGTGGAAATACGCTCAGAGACGCTGGCTGAGGGTCAACCCACTCACGTGCTGATAACTCAGGCAACGGTGGCACCCGAGAGCTGGTTGGATGAGTCGTTTATGGTGGAATTTTTGCCAATCATTGGCGATTATATAACCACCAATGCGACGCAATATAAAATGGCTGTTCAACTCGCTGAGAGCACATCGAATGTGGTCGATGGTCCCCTAAAGACTCCAACGGGCAACTTTCATTCGGTGTTGCAGACGAAATGCTTTCGCCAGGAAACACCTTTCCATGCCTGTCTGTCCCGTGTCAGTTTGCCCGACAATCGCATCAAGTTCGAGGCGGATTTTCATATGATGGAAATCGTCAATTATATGGTGAGAGTCAGTTCGGAGTACAAAGATTAGCTAAAGTTTATTTGGTGTTTATTCTAGCACTCCCAGTTGGCCAACTTGAAGATCTTTCAGCTCAAGTTGCCCACACAGCACAAGCAGCAAGCCAAGATCCTCAAGTCCATTGTAAGTAACATATCGAATAAAATCGTAGACAGCATTGCAATGCATCGCTTTGACTACGACTTGGGCATCAGATGCACCACTTGGGACACAAATCGGCAGCAATATTTGCTGGAATACTTTACCAAACTGACGGACGATCTGAGAACATTACGCAAGAAGATAAGGTCCAGTTACCCGGAGCACTTGGACACCACCATCGTGGATATTGTGAATGAACTGCAGAGGATAATTGGCAATATTAGTTCACTTTCCAATCTGCTGCATGCCCAGGACGATTGGCCGGAGCTGTTGCTCACTCTGAGTGCGGGTGGCAAACCGGTGGGCGTCTGTCGTTTGAATGCGAAACACTTCCTCAACCTGCCCAAACGGGAGGCGAATCAGGCTAGCAATCATTGCTGGCAGGTGCGAAGTTTCCTCTTCAAGAGCAGCACCTGCGTTCACACCTGTGCCAATTGTGGCTGCAATGCTGGCATTGTCCTCGGCTGCATATCGATTGTGTTGGAACGAGAGCGTCATGAGTTCTTCTCCCACATATCGGAGGAATGGATCACACCCGAACCACTCGCCTGGCTGCCAAAAATGGCGGAGACCAACTTTCGTTGTCATGTCTATGTGCATCAGGCCAAGGTCCGCCCAGGTGCCGACAATCGTAGCATCTGCGGTGGACACGTACGTGTCCTGTTTGCTTCTCATGCTGCTGAGACACACACAACTTCTTCGACTTGCTCGCAAATGTGGGATACGATAATTACCATCAATGGTCTAGCGCTGCCCGGTAGCATCAAATGGTATTTGAATAACCCACCCTTGATCTCCCTGGAGCTGCACAAATCCGAGGCAAGCGATGCAATGGGCAGTGGACAAGCTATTGTGAGTGTGATAAGTGCTTCGAATGAGTTGGAAAATAGTCGAGAAGAACGTGAAACTCGATTCCTGGGCAAGAGTTCAATGCAGAAGTTGCAGAAACTGAAGAATTTGTCGCCGCCACCACTCAAATGGGTGGCTATGTCTAAGAATGGCATAGTCCAGGCCGAGATCCTTATGTCCGTGGAGTTCAAGGAGCTGGCAGACGACACCCCAAATGGGGAGGCTGAACCCGAACTTACCATAGGCATCCCCGTGGATATACGACCCAATATGCTCAACTATGTGTGAGTTCTCCAGTTAAAAATAGTATTATTATTATTATTAAATATTTTCTGCCATCAGACTCGAGGTAATCTTTGTTGGCCTCCGGAACTATACTAAAAGTGGTATGGTGATGGCTGGCAAACGACGTGCCAAAGTCATGATGGCCGATTTGGTGCTCTCCAGCGGATTGTCCATGTCGCGTGTGAAGAACAGCATTAACTTTTTGGTGGCCTACGCCTCCGGCGTGGTGGTGCGTAAAAAACTACAATAGATAATAGAACAACAATTGTATTCCTGTATTCCACAGAACCTACCCGATCAGCAGGAATATTGGCCGGCCATCATAGCCACAGATGTTGTGGTCAATGGTTTACGAAATGAGACAACACTTGGAGCTGCTCTGATACCAGCCAGTCCGAGTTTCCTGCAAGCGGATCGGACCCGGAGATGCGTCTGGAAATCGGAAGAAAGTTCGGCTGCCACATCAGCTGTAATTGTGCATCCGGAAGATGAAGATGCAACATTGGAGGAACCTGATGATGACAGGGAACCAGAGCCGGGCAAACTGAAAAGCTACTGGAAACGCATTAAGATAGCCCTGGGCATAAGAACCGTTGCCTTTGCCAATAGGCAGGCTCTCAAGTATGATGAGCACATAGACTCCAGTGATCTGCAGGCGCACAGTCAATTCACATGGTGGACGAAGTTTTACAATACGATGTATGTGAACGATCACAGCAAGGCGCATCTGTGGAAGCATCGACTGGTCATCTATGCCGGTGAGCTGGAGCAGCAGGCCGAGTTTGGTTACCTACAGGATTGGGCTGTACCAGTGCCCCTCGTGCATGGTGTCAAATTCCGCAAGCATGGGCCACCCAAGGAGGACATCTATGCCACGCTGAAGTTGCAGATTAAGTTGACTCCCTGCCATTGTGCGTCACCAGATTACGGAGGAGGTGGCGATATGTTGCGTCCCATGCCCACTGCCATGAATCCGCGCCAGCAAACGATGATTAAATCGTTGACGGACGTTGTTAGGATTACGGTAAGGATATATATAGTTCAGGGCCTGCATATTCGACCCAGCGATTGGTCATCGGACTCGGACTCATATGTCCGACTCACATTGGGTGGCAAAGTGGTCTCGGATTGGGCTCACTATGTGCCCAATCAGAGTAATCCCATTTTCGGGCGTTACTTCGAATTGGATACCTCGCTGCCCGCCGATCCTATTCTCGAGGTGTCCATTTGTGATTATGACAAGAGCAAGGAGCAAGTCATCGGCACCACACGCATCGATCTGGAGGATAGATGGCACAGCAAACATCATGCCACAGTTGGCATCCCGCACGAGTACAATCCCATGGGCTATAATCAGTGGCGGGATCCCATGTTGCCCTCCCAGCTGCTGACCAGTTTGTGCCAGCAACGTGGCATCCAGCCACCATATTTCTATGGCAATGCCGTCGAGGTGGATGGCATGCTCCTTGGCGATGAGACTGTCATCTCCAAATGTGGGTCCTTTTAATCTTAGATTTGAGTTTAGCCTCAGGAGTAACTTTGTGTTGTTTTCTCTATCGTTTTTAGCTGAGGAATTGAAGGAACGTCTCAGTTTGTCGGCGCTCAGGAATCTGGACAAGCTGCCCTCCTTTGGCTACAATCTTGTGCCCGAGCATGTCGAGACGCGCTCCATCTATCGTGACAACAATCCGGGAGTATCTCAGGTGCGTCTTCGATATGACATAAACCAAAACAGGCAACCAATCGAGTGAACACTCAATTTTTTTCAGGGCCAAATCCAGATGTGGATTGAGCTGTTCGAGAAGAGCACATTCATTCCACCACCAATGGATATAACGCCCGTTCCGCCCACCTGCTACGAGGTACGCCTTGTGGTCAAAAATCTAAAAGGCATACAGTTCGGCGATAAAAACATGTTTGGGAAACTAATGAGCGACATCTACGTAATTGGGTAAGGGAACGGAGGGGAATACCCCTGTTTCAGCTGTAAGCGATATGCAATTATACGAATTTTGTGGTATTTTGCAGTTGGTGCCAGGATGCAGACGATTACCAATCGACCGATATACATTACCGTTCATTTGCTGGCGCTGCCGCATTTAATTGGCGCATGATATTCATCCTGAAATACTCACCCAACGAGGACATGGTAAGCTGGCAGCGACAAGGGGGCTGCTCGCCTAATTGGCGAGCGTAAAATAATACGAGAAGCGCCGCAATTAATGAGCTGCTCGTTAAAAATTCTTACTGTAGATGGTCATCAGGCGCATGGGTGGATATCGTGAGGTGATCGAAATCAAACGGCCACCCATTATCTATCTGCAGGTCTGGGATAAGGATATGATCTCGCATGACGAATATCTTGGTGCCATTGAGCTTAATCTGTCCAATTTGCCGATGCCATATGCGACAGAGAGACGCTGCCCGGCAACTCCCAAAATGCGACAGCGTCTCAATATATTTAATCGGAAAAGTGTAATGGGCTGGCTGCCACTGCAAAATTTTCCACAGAGTGTCGCAGGATTACCCACCAAGAACGGTGTACGTAAAACAATTCTTCCATAAACTCTGTTTAACAACAGCAACTGCAATTTAGGGCAAAATTGAATTACAAATTGATGTGTGCACGGAGGCAGAGGCATCTGAATTCCCTGCTGGCTTAGGTCATGATCCACCCATGGCACTGGACTTGCCCGAGTATGTACCAAAACACATTTCATATATTCATGTATATATCTGCTGTGCATTTCCCCAACTTTATAGTCGCCCAGAGACGTCATTCAACCCGTTGTCGCATCCCTTTAAGTCGGCCCACTTCATCCTTTGGCCCGTCATCCGTAAATATGTTTACATTGGTTTGCTTTTCATATGTGTTGCAATGGGCCTGACTTTGTTCGTTGCGAATTTTCCAAACAAAATAATGTCCATTCCACTTGATTGATTTGGCTTCCTTTTCACATTCATTCATTTTTAATGCGTTTTTAAGTGTTATTAAATACCAATGTGTATGGATGACGCGCTACTCTCTCTGATTAATTAAATGCAATTGCTAATGTGTACTTGTTGAATCCAAAAAGGAATGCAAACAGCGACAGCGATAAGGCTGCCCAGTTAAATGGCATAGTCTGGTATATATATATAGTACATATATAAGTACAGACATTGACTGTTTCATTGGAGATGATAATTACTCATGGGGGTCTCCCCTAACCAAGCTGTTATCTAAATGCATTGATCGCTCATCATTTATACTAATAAGAAGGGTTGTTTTTTGTTTTTACTTTTATAAATAATAAAATGTTAATTATAGAAATTGTTTTACCACTTTTATCTCTATCGATAAATGAATAGTGGTATTTTACAATACAAATATAAATCATTGGTTTGTCGTGTTCTTTTGTCATGTTAATAAATAACTGAAATTTGCTTCAATCAATGGATATCATTATTATTATAGATTATAGATTATATTAGACCCACGATAAGTACGAAATGAACTCTGTATAGATAAAGGATCGCGTTGCACTCTCTTTTCTAGGTACTCATTACCATATTCTCTCCAATACAAACATTGTTAACCCATTGATTAAACCACTTTTTGCAGAACTGTTGTAAATTACTTTGCCAGCAGTATTTCATGATATGAATAATATGTCTACATACAAATTGCACACTAAAAGAAAAAACAATTACATATACAATGTAAGTTTTATACCCTGAACCCATTAAAAATGTGTAAATGGGGTATAATGAAATTATGCAAAAATATGTAAGACGAAGAAGGAAGTATATCCGAGTGCCCAAAGATTATACGAACTAGATTCTTCAAATTTGGAATATAAGTTCTTGTATTGGCCAGGCAGATTTTATTTCATTTTATCGATAACTGGTCCCGTTTCACAATTATCGATATATACCGATTTGCGATAGTAGTAAAACCCACAATTTGAAAGGCATATCCTTCCAATTAATATATAATATAACTTTACAGTTAGATTCAGGGTATGTCGTAGTCAAATACACACAAATAAAGTCTGCCATTTAGTTTCTTTCTGACGACTATTTCGCGATGTGCAAATGCGTTAATTAGAAAGGCAAATATATGTTCATGTGTATTTAGCAGTCGTTTGAGAGTCGGCAGTGTTCGCGTCGAACCGGGTGACAAACTGACGAAAGGCTGCCAACGACATGTTTATCAGACTCAGTGCTAGACCCCAGCGACGAGCTACGGCCCAGAACTGAGCAGAGAGGAGCAATAGTTGAACTACAGGCACTCAGCAAGGGCTGGAGCGCTCAGTTGGAGCTCAGCAAGCGAGCCTGTCAGTCAAAAGCCAAAGTAACTACACTCAAAGGGTTTCATTTAGTTTTTTTCCAATTAAAGTGTTGTGCCAAATAAATACCTGCCATCGACAATTTTGCTGCATCAACCGAAACTTGCAACGTACTCAGCGCCATCGCAACAGCTTAAAATATTGTTGGGTTTCGTTGTATAGACTAAATTTCGGATTAGTGAATTGTTTCGTTTTTCGATAAGGATTCAAACATATGGCACACTTTTCTGGCGCTCTGCCTTTAACAAAATTAGTTTTTTAAACCTGAAATGTTTCAGAATATTTTAGAAACTTCCTTGTTCTTGTCAAACCGTTTTATATTATGGGCTTTAAAATAGTTATCGAAAATAGTTATTCAAAATTCTTGTGTACCTTGTGTGTATAAAAAATGTGCAATCAGTGCTTGTTAACTGTGGTGAAATGTTCTTAAAGAATAATAATACATTAAAGATAAATTATTACTTGTTTTAATTGAAACTAAGAGATAGCTAAAAAGTTGATATTGTGACCAATTTTAGTGAAATTTAAAAGACAAAATGAAATAATTAAGTGACGAAAAAGTGATAGTAAAAATTTAAAAAGGCTATATTTTTAATTTATAGGTTATTATAAAATGTAAATCGTTTGACAAGTGAAAGAGGATAAACAATTTTCAGGCATATGGTTTTATTAAAGGCTTCTGGGCAGAAACGTAATTCAGAACGCTTCTCATTGGAAATCAGGTGAATATATTGCCATATTAATAATTAATTCATTTTTTATGTTCATTGAATAGATAGAATGACACCTACTTAAAAACTGCCCAAACCTGAGAAATATTCCATTTGCAAATTAATATTGTCACAGCACCATTTTGAATTGTTGAAAACTACGCCTAAAAGTGATATTTGCCTGTCTGTATTTGCCACTCGCTCTAATTAAATCATGACATTCGAATTATTGTCAACTCATCATTCGTAGCTGACCTATGACCAATTCTATTAACCGATTGGATAATCAAAGTAGGCACCACATGTAGGTACAGCTCTTGGCTTTGTCTCGAACATTCTCCAATATGCCCATTAAGTAAATTAATGCATGCAATGCGAATTCGGATTGGGATTTTGACTGGTGCCTCATCGAATTGCTGGATTGCTGATAGAGATCAGTGTAATTCAATTAATTACAACTACGCGGTAGAAGTTCTAGAATCCTATATCCATACCAGATTTGTGTCCAGTTCGTTTTGAGTCTTTGCAGAAGTTGGTTCATTTATGGTGGGGTTAGATATGAGGTGAGAAGTGTTTAATATTTCTTAAAAACGAACCCAAATCGGTTTGGGAAGGCGTGTCTTGCATTATGCAATCGCTGTTACTGTTGTCAAAACTAAATAGCCCTTTAATTAGTCGTTGTCACTTAATGAGGTTCTAGTCACGTCTCTCGAGAGCTATCCAATATAAAATAGTGGCAAAACGGTCGTTGACACCGCGACAACAATAATATGCAAAACTAACACATATCTAACTACTGTACTTAGAAAAAATATACCCTAGAGTGCGGTAAATAAAAAAAAATTAAAAAAAACAGAAAATCACCCTTAAGACCAGCAAAAATATATAATAACAAATTGTCGACAAATAAAATTAGGTGTGGTTGTTTTTATTCCAAAAACATATTTCTTATGCTTGAAAAACACTTTCAAAAATAAAATCAACTCCCAATTTAGAAGAAAGACAAGCTTACTTTCTAAAAATCAAATCAAATAATATTCTGAATTATATAAATTTTTTTAAGTGTACTAAAAAAGTACTTAACTGAGCATAAATAAAAATTGGCAGTGTTTTCTTTTTGTTTGGTTTCCCTTTATCAACAAATTCGAATTTGCCTGCTTCAGTTTCATCGACTAGAAATACTTGTTTAAAAGAAAGACAAATCTATTTGCTGATAGTCAAATCAAGATATTTTCTCAGGTTTCTATATTTTTCCCAAAGTGTACTTACAATTACAAAATGAGCGCCATTAAGTTCCATTTGACATCGAATTTTACGGTACAGTTGTCACCACAAACACATTGTTATCATTATGTACACCAACAACAACATAATCAAGAACAACAACAACAACAATAGCAACAACAACAACAACAACAATAGCAACAACGACTACTGTTGTAAATATCATGCGACAGAAGGGGTTATCTAAATAGGCGAAAACTCGATGCAGGCATTTAGTGAACGTTTAGGCCAATCAATAACTAATTAGTCAATTGACTGTGGCTGATAATTGTGACAGAGATTATTGTGAAATACGTATCACAGTTAACCATATTAAACGCAATATCTAAAAGACGCCAATTGTTGCACAGTCGCGATTTATCGCGACCATTTACCATAACAACAGCTGGCACAGATCGGAGTCAATCCGGCAGCGATTCCAATATGCCCAAACTCTGGAACAGTGTGAAATGCTCCTCCCTCTCACCCGATCTGATGGAGGCACAACCCAAAATATTGCCCAAGTCGCGCTCGAGCAGCAGCAGCAGCAATCGCAACAGCAAAGTGAGTTCGAGAAAAAACCATTTGACTGATATTATGATTTTCATTGTTTTCTTCCTGTTTTAGTATTGGATATTCTCGATGATAATTGAGCGCAGCGCTGGCTCCAAGCGAGTGGATATCTTGGGAGACGATGTCGATACGCCATTGGAGGCCATTCTGCCGGTGGAGGAAGTGGAGGAGGTTTGTCTGTTGCGTGACAGCCCCTACAGGATATTGAGGGTAAGTTCAGGCTCATCGAGTGGTTGCCAATTCACTAAAGTGTTTAATCGCTACTCCCAAAGCGAGCATTTGTTAGAACAGTGTTTACTCGTTGTCCACTCTGATATAAATAATAAAAAACAGACATAAAAACAGCTAGTTTTCTAGTCATTTCTATGGCTGCCCAAACCATTTATGAGCATCAGTGTGATAACAATGAAGTTCAGAGAAAGTCGCTACATAGGAAAATGCTCTCACGACACGCAGAGCAACAAGTTTCCCTAACAATAACGGCAACAGTGAAATTGAAATTGAAACAAAATGAAAATGAAAATGGGCTGACAAATTAAATAAAACTCACCACGCGTGCCGCTTGCCGCAAATCTTCGCCGCTGGCAACGCGCTCGGCTATAAAAGCAAACGAGTTTGTCGCCGAGATTTTAGTCTGGCAGGACTCGTCGTCCGCCAACTGCAGAGAGCCAAAATGGCAGCGGAAAATCGCAAGAGAAGCTGCTCAACAGTAGCAACAAAAGGACATTTGAGTTTTTAAAGATTTAAAGTGATTTGTGAATAAAAACCTGCAATGCAAATGCCCCAAAAACATTCAGTGCTATTATATAAAAAAAAGTGGATTGCTATATTTAAAAATAACTATTTAGATTTGTTAAAAACACATAAATGTTAATTGTTTTTGGTGTGAAAATGTTGAACAAGTTAAAAAGTTAATAACAATCTAAAAGTTGATAGATCTCATTGTTAAAAGTCTCAATAAACTACTCAAAGAGTTTTTAGATTTGTTGAACAGATAAATGTTATTTCTCCTTGGCGAAATTTAGTTTTTATAAAACTATAATATTAAAGATTTGAGCTTAATCATAAATTTCAAATCATTTAACAAAAACGATAAAAGTTAAAGTAAATTTATGATAAAGTTAATCCATCTTTAAGCTCTCGATCTTGATTAATAACCATTTCGCGCTCTGAGCACTTAATTGAAATGGAATGTCCCAAATGCCCGAAGCGAAAATGATGGGTGAAAATGAATCGCCCAAACGGACTGTGGAATTCAGTCCATTGCGTTATCTGATTAGCGGCTGTGCGAATGGACAAGAATTAACAACGATGGCTCCTCTAAATCTATCCAACAAATGGGCACGAATCTTGCGAATGTCGTCCGCACCAAAAATACAAGCTGATGTCCTCCTGCAGGTAACCAAAAGACCATGAAATTAGTCAAGCGTCAGAGGAAGTTAATTTTTAAGTATCCTCGGATGAGCGAACAGCATTCTCAAGACGCTTCAACTGCTAAGCTTGTTGCGAAACTTCTGGAAAAGTGGAAAGTGAATTGAATTTTTCACAAAATGATGAAGATAATGCAGCTGCAGTAGCAGCATGTCCAAAGCTGTCAAGATGTAAACATGTTGAAAGGACAAGACAATGACAATAACAAGGGAATAAAGCAAAAAAAAGAAGCAAACAATTCGTGCTATAATTAAAAATCTATTTACATTTTGTCGGAGTTTTTATGGAAGTCCGCGTGCCTTATTTAATTTGCCGTAGATTTTTGTTTAAGCCTGGACCTTGAAAACAAGCCTGACAAAGGAGTGCAGCGCGTGTTTAAAGTTGTAGCAGAGATAATAATCTTTTTAATGCACAGTTTAATTAGTTCAGCAAGTAAGCAGTTGGCAATATTATCTATATTTCTGTATCGGCAGGCGGCGGAGTCTGGCAACTTGGATGATTTTAAGCGTCTGTTCATGGCGGACAACACGCGCATCACGCTCCAGGATGGCAAAGGACGAACAGCTGCTCACCAGGCGGCGGCCAGGAATCGTGTCAACATCTTGCGCTATATACGCGATCAGAATGGGGGTGAGCAGAAGTAGAAAGAGTGAGTGTCCTAACATAAACATAATTAAACATGTTGCAGACTTCAATGCCAAGGACAATGCGGGCAATACGCCACTTCACATTGCTGTCGATAGCGATGCGTACGATGCACTGGACTTTCTGCTCTCCATGTAAGTGACCGGATGGATGACTGCCAGTCTTAGTTATTCTTGATATAATTAACTTAACTTGTTGTCAACATGTTCGCAGTCCGGTGGACACGGGCATATTGAATGAGAAGAAACAGGCGCCGGTGCATCTGGCAACGGAGCTAAACAAGGTCAAGTCGTTGCGGGTGATGGGTCAATATCGGAATGTTATCAACATACAGCAGGGCGGCGAACACGGAAGGACTGCCCTGCACTTGGCCGCTATCTACGATCACGAGGAGTGCGCCCGTATCCTGGTAGGTGGTGTGAGTTCTTGCAAAACATGTTTATTTTATTGTTTTTGTTTTTTTTTTGGCTTGAACATATTTTATAACCAATAAGTTGCTCATGCATTTTGTGCTTGTACTCATTCAGTTGACCATTAATCAAATCGCACGCGTTCACACACACACACACACATACACACACACACAGAGTTATACTACAGAAGATACTCAATAGCAATTTATCATGAGACGAACGTTTGTAAAAATTTAATTTGCCTGCGCTTAAAAGTATGCTACATTTTCATATAAGTCGCATCAAAAGTCTGCTATTGCTGTGTGTGTGTGTGTGTGTGTCTATTTGCTTATATGGTATGTGTATTTAAAATATATATGCTTTTGTGTAATGAATTGCGTATGTCGTGTCTTACAGATAACTGAGTTCGATGCATGCCCCCGTAGACCCTGCAACAATGGTTATTATCCCATACATGAAGCGGCTAAAAACGCCAGCTCTAAGACAATGGAGGTGTTCTTTCAGGCAAGTTGTGGTAGTATGTATGTATGTATGTTTGCAGATGACTGTGTGTATGTGTGTATGTATTGCATGTATACTGTATGGTGAACGTATCACGCACACTTTCCTTCCATGGCAACTGTCCGCACATTTTGCTGATCTGATGTCAAAGCCTTAAGTGCTTCCCGATTAATATCCCCGAGCGCGTATCCACTTTATTTGATTTGTACTGCAATCGCTGCTGATAGCATTTACTGTTTTTTTTTCTCCATAGGTTGACCTTTCGTGCTATTGCATTGAGCTTTTCCCTTTTTCTTTACGCTTTTTCCTATACAGTTGGAAATTGCGTATACGCTGTGTTGTTCAGCGTCTACAAGGGAGTCAATTAGAAAAGTATCAAATTCAAACGTTTCTGGTCCAATTATCGATTTCTTTTAACTCTAGATTATTGTCAAGCGGCTTTAATACATAATGACAGGGGCGAAAGTTCGCCGAAAACCCAAAAAACTTTAAAATATCAAATAATGCATTCGGCCAACGACTTTACAAGGAACCTTTTTATTTATAGAGGAATATTAAACGCTGTCTGATTTTGTGTAACTGATAAATGTTGTTGTTTTTTTTCTCCTAGTAAGCAGAAGTTTCTTAATGCGAACTTTTTAAATAGAATTTATACTGATTTTACTCCAAACAGTGGGGCGAACAACGTGGCTGCACTCGCGAGGAGATGATATCCTTTTACGATTCCGAGGGCAATGTGCCGCTGCATTCAGCGGTCCATGGCGGCGATATAAAGGCCGTGGAGCTGTGCCTGAAATCGGGCGCTAAAATATCAACACAGCAACATGATCTCTCGACGCCAGTGCACTTAGCGTGCGCGCAGGTAAGTTGTTCACCGGTTCACTGCTGGTTTAGTGTGGTGGTTGCCATGGCCTCGCAGCTGAGGTCCACTGCCAGACAGGACACTTGACAGCTCTCATATTTACAAGTGTCCTAGTTGGTTAAATAAACGCGTATTTGCTGCTTGTTGCTCACTGTTTGGCCAGCAATTGATAGCTAAACACTCTGCCACGAAATGGCTTCCTTTTCGGGTCTTTAACATGGTTGTTTCCTTGTGCGCGTATATTTCGGTTGAGTTTAATTTGACAGAATTCTTATGCAAATTGTGTTACGACGAACGTGACTTTGTGGCAAACCGCGTTGTTTGCCATTAGCAAATACCAAAACATTGCCACCTGAGAGTAGGGTAAGACGGGCAAGCAGACAAGGGGAATCTAGTGGAGTGTGCTCTGCGAGTAAGCGACAAAAAATGAGTATTTTAGTTGCAATAAGTAACAGAAATTTGGTAGGTAAAATGGCGAATTTCAAGTTTAGATTTATGTGCAGTAATCTTAACATAAGAGCGACTTTAATCAACTTTAAATGAAGTATTTATCTAGAGGTCAAACCGTTGTCAAAAAGCCCTGGATTTTGAAAATCGGATCACGTTTGACAATGTTATGGCATTGGAAAGTCATTTTGGAGGATATAATTTTAACATTAATTTCGAGTGAGAAACGCGTTTTTAACTTTAAATGTAATATTTTTCTTGAGACCAAACCACAACTAAAATGTGTTGGTTTTTGAAAATCGGATTACTTTTGGCAAAGTTATGACTGTGGAAAGTTTTTCAACAAGCATTTTTTGAGAATTACATTTTTACATTAATTGCGAGCCATAATGAAAAACCTGGTCTTTTGTAATCGGATCAAATTTGACAAAATGATGGCTTTCTATTTGTTCACAGGGTGCCATTGAAATAGTCAAGTTGATGTTTGAGATGCAGCCATTGGAGAAGCGGATTTGTCTCAGCTGCACCGACGTACAGAAGATGACTCCGCTGCACTGCGCTTCGATGTTCGATCATCCCGATATAGTCTCTTACCTGGTCAACGAGGGTGCCGAAATCAATGCGCTAGACAAGGAGCATCGCTCCCCACTACTCTTGGCTGCCTCGCGCAGTGGCTGGAAAACTGGTTGGCAAAAACGAGTGAAGTATTTGAATATGAATGATTTAACCTCTGTTCTTTGCACAGTACATCTGCTAATTCGATTGGGTGCCAGCATTGATGTGAAGGATGCCGCAGCGCGTAATGTCCTTCACTTTGTCATCATGAACGGGGGACGCTTGACGGACTTTGCGGAGCAGGTTGCCAATTGCCAGACACAGGCGCAGCTGCAATTGCTGCTAAACGAGAAAGATAACATGGGCTGCTCTCCCCTGCACTACGCCAGTCGGGATGGTCACATACGTTCGCTGGAGAATCTCATCCGTCTGGGCGCCTGCATCAATCTGAAGAACAATAACAATGAGAGTCCTTTGCACTTTGCCGCTCGCTATGGCAGATATAATACAGTGCGACAACTGCTCGACTCGGAGAAGGGCTCGTTTATCATCAATGAGAGCGATGGCGCTGGGATGACTCCGTTGCACATCTCCTCGCAGCAGGGACATACACGTGTGGTACAGCTCCTGTTGAATCGGGGTGCTTTGCTCCATCGCGACCACTCCGGGCGTAATCCACTGCAGCTGGCTGCCATGTCGGGATATACCGAGACCATAGAACTGCTGCACTCGGTGCACTCACATCTGCTGGATCAGCTGGACAAGGATGGGGTGAGTGTGTGGCAGAGTACCGCAGCAAAAAAAAAAAATTTAAAGAAAATCTTTCTAGTTTCGATTTTCTGAAACTCAAAACGATTTTTTTCTGCGTGTAGGAAAAATGGTTTTCAAAGGAACTTTAATTTTTGAATATTATTTATTTGTTTTGCAGAACACTGCTCTTCATCTGGCCACCATGGAGAATAAGCCGCATGCGATTTCGGTGCTGCTGTCGATGGGTTGCAAGTTGATCTACAATGTGCTGGACATGAGTGCCATTGACTACGCCATCTACTACAAATATCCGGAGGCAGCACTGGCAATGGTCACGCACGAGGAGCGTGCCAACGAGGTGATGGCGTTGCGCTCCGATAAGCATCCGTGTGTGACCCTGGCACTGATTGCCTCAATGCCCAAAGTGTTTGAGGCGGTTCAGGATAAGTGCATTACCAAGGCGAATTGTAAGAAGGACTCGAAGAGTTTTTACGTAAGTCTGTCGTTGAACCGATATGAAAGTTTTGCTATCGAAAAAGGAACTCATTTCATGAATTCATCAGTTTGTTTGGCCTGCTGAGGACTTGCTGTTGTTAATCGTATCTTATCTCTTTGATCATATACGAATTTAGATTAGGTACTCATTTGCATTCTTGCAATGTCCTTATATGTCTGCCAAGATCGATGAGAAAACCGGAGAGCCGATCATGACAACAAATCCCATTCCATTACCAGCCCTCAATGTAAGCAGACAAAAACCAAAAAAAACATCAGTTGCATGCAATAATTTATTGAGTGCGTTTTTTTCTGTTGCCTTAAGACTTGAAGCAGTGTTTAGTTTAGGTGTCAATCTCCACTTCTTCTTCCCACACTCGGGAAAATAATCTGCATGTACTTTTGAAAATTTCTCTAAAATTCTTTTTGGTGTTTTTAGGGTCCGCTAAATCTGTTTGTCACATTTAATCATGCATTCACGCCAAGCTAAAAAAAAACATGCACCCATTGAATTTGATTTGATTTTCGTTTCAACTCATTATTTAGATCAAATATTCATTTGCGCCATACCAAAAAACGCCCAAGCAAATCGAGGAAAAGCGTCTAGAATTCAATGATGCAAAATGGCGCCCGGCGCCATTGGCTGTGGTGAATGTGAGTCTCAATCCACGTTGAACTCTCTCTCTCTCTCTCTCTCTATAATCTAAATCTGTAAAATCGTCCCAAAAGTCTGCTTTTATTCTCACTTTGCTGCTCTCGTAACTATGTGTCTGTGTCGTATCCTAAGTGTTTCTATTGTTCCTATGTGTTGTCTTCAATTCAAATAAACTATTCACTAATATATATCTTCTATATATACTCCTGTGACTAGACAATGGTCACACATGGACGCGTGGAGCTGCTGGCCCATCCCTTGAGCCAGAAGTATCTGCAAATGAAATGGAACTCTTATGGCAAATACTTTCATCTGGCCAATCTCTTGATTTATTCGATATTTCTGGTCTTTGTCACCATATATTCATCGCTAATGATGAACAACATCGAACTGCGTTTCCGTGGCAATACAACAATTAGTCACTTCTGCAAGGGGTAAGTTTAAAGCTCTATAACTGAATAATTGCTTATATATATATCGCTCTTTACAGCTGGGGTCCGCTCACATCGAATCTCACGCATAGCGCTGCGGATGTTGCCCAGATACGTCGGGAGTCCTGTGTGGAGAGCATTAATCGAACACCAGCCATACTCTGCTGTGCCATGGTCATTGTAATTTACATATTGCTCAATTCGATGAGGGAATTGATTCAGATCTATCAGCAGCGTTTGCACTATTTGGTGGAGACGGTGAATCTTATCTCCTGGGTGCTCTACATATCCGCATTGATAATGATAGCGCCCGCTTTTCGATCCGATGGCGCCATTAACACCATACATTATTCAGCTGCATCGATTGCCGTCTTCTTGTCCTGGTTTCGTTTGCTCCTCTTCCTGCAGCGTTTCGATCAGGTTGGGATTTATGTGGTCATGTTCTTGGAGATATTGCAGACGTTGATCAAAGTGCTCTTGGTCTTCTCCATATTGATTATTGCTTTTGGCCTGGCATTTTATATATTGCTCTCCAAGGTGAGTTTTTGCTGATGATTTGATTAATCTTTTGCTTAAGCTTCACTTCTTTCTTGCCAGATAATTGATCCACAGCCGAATCCCAATCACTTGTCCTTTTCAAATATACCCATGTCGCTGGTGCGCACCTTCTCCATGATGCTCGGTGAACTGGACTTTGTTGGCACCTATGTCAATCCATACTATCGCGATCAATTAAAGGTGCCCATGACCTCGTTCTTGATACTGAGTAAGTCTCCGCTTGGCAAACACTTTAACTAGGCACGTCTAATCATCTTTCCTGGCAGGTGTTTTTATGGTCTTGATGCCCATTCTGTTGATGAACTTGCTCATCGGTTTGGCCGTTGGCGATATTGAGTCAGTGCGTCGCAATGCACAGCTGAAGAGATTGGCCATGCAGGTGGTGCTCCACACGGAGCTGGAGAGGAAGCTGCCCCATGTCTGGCTGCAGCGAGTGGACAAAATGGAGCTCATTGAGTATCCAAATGATACAAAATGCAAAATTGGCTTTCTCGATTTTATTTTACGCAAATGGTTCTCGAATCCATTTACCGAGGATTGTAAGTATTCCCATCCGTTGTTGGGTGGTTAATTAATACTCATTCCCATTCCCCACTTCACCACAGCTGCCATGGATGTGATTAGCTTTGACAACAATGACGATTTGATCAATGCTGAAATGGATCGACAGCGCCGCAAGTTGCGCGACATTAGCCGGATGCTGGAGCAGCAGCATCATCTGGTGCGACTCATTGTCCAGAAGATGGAGATCAAAACGGAGGCAGACGACGTCGACGAGGGCATTTCCCCGAACGAACTGCGCTCCGTGGTGGGTCTCACTTCGGCTGGTCTCAATCGCTGGAACTCGCCGCGTATACGCAATAAATTGCGAGCAGCTCTGAGCTTCAACAAGAGCATGTAGGACCCACAATTATAACTAGCGCAAATTAGCAGAAGCTCTATTTATTGTCATGCATTATAACCATATTTACACACTATATAAACTTATCAATGTCAATGTCTGTTTAACGGGAGCTCATAAGGGTAAAGGACGAATTTAAGGTTGGCAACAGCTGAGCTCTGCAAGTGAATGCGATTTAATTCACATTTCTATTAAATACTAAATGTAATTGCATATATATAACTATATATCTATGTATATGTCTCTATCTGTGTTTAACGTTTTTAATGTCTTTGAAAAAGTCTATCTGAAATTAAAGTCAATTTATGCATGAAAATAGTAAAATGTTTGAATTTATTTATGACAGTGTTGGATGAATCTGAGTTGTGAGTTTGCTTAAAAACTAATATAGAATTAGATAAAATAAACCACGCCTCCTGCGGGAGAGGAGGGTTCTACATGAATGTAATCTTGGTGCGACCCATGTTGACCTGCCACACGTTGAGCTCCTCGTAGTCATCGATGCATTTGTCCACTTGATCCGGTTTGAAGCCCTTCGTCGTGCAGCGATCCATAATCTCGGCGATCTTCACAGCCTTCCCAGAGCCAGCCAATTCCCTTACGATGGCAAAGATGCGATCCGAAGTGTTGGGCACACTGTGAAATAGAGTTAAAAATGAAAACCCAATCAAAGCAATCGAGTTGTGTACACTTACTGTCCCTTCTGGTGTTCGTGTATCTGGTTGAGAGAATCCTTGGACATTTCCAGCAAACGCAGAGCCTCGGCCACATCATCCTTCTCCACACGATCCGAGAGACGCAAACGGGCCAAAGCAGTCGACAGACGCAAAATGCCGAGGAGATTACGGGCCGATGTGAAGGTCATGTCCTTCTGGTTGCGAGCCTCACGCCTCAACTCCACGTAGGCGCCCACAATGTAGTCGGTGAGTTCGTCGGGAATGGTGGGATGCTTGCGCTTGCACAGATTGATGTAGCGTCGCATCAGATTCATGTCCAGCGACTTGACACGCGACGGCGGCTGCTTGCTGTGGCTGTGCACGTAGGTGATGTGCTTGGCCAGACGCAGATCGTTGTCCCGATCCGGTTTGTCCTGGATGAGCCACAGCAGATCGAAACGCGAGAGCAGCGCAGCAGGCAACTGAATATTCTGTTCCACGGTGCGTCGTGGATTGTAGCGACCAAAGGCGGGATTTGCAGCAGCCAGAATGGAGACGCGTGCATTCAGCGTGGTCATAATGCCCGCTTTGGCTATCGATATGGTCTGCTGTTCCATGACCTCATGTATGGCCGTACGATCCACATCCGCCATCTTGTCGAACTCATCGATGCAACAGACACCCTGATCCGCCAGCACCAAGGCGCCGCCTTCGAGCGTCATCTCGCCGGTGAGTGGATCCTTCATCACGGCAGCAGTTAGACCCACTCCAGACGAACCACGACCCGTCGTATACTGTGAGCGTATGGCAAGGCGACTGATGTAGCCCAACAGTTGGGATTTGGCCACACCCGGATCACCCATCAGGCAGATGTTGATGTTGCCACGAATCTTCATGCCATCCGGCCGTTTATCAACGCCGCCGACAAGCAGCAGCAGCAACGCCTTCTTCACATCCAAGTGGCCGTAGATTTCGGGTGCCAGGCTGGTGGCCAGACGCTCATAGAAATCATCCTGAGCCAACTCCTCCAGTTCGGCGGGCGTCAGCTCCGCATCCTTGTCCGAAATGTCATCGCTCTTATTGATGCATATAATGCGCTGCCAGAGAATATGAATTAGGTCGGGATTCACTTTACCGTCTCCCCACAACTTACGTGCGCCTGGAGGAATGTCTCCGAGAGCAGACCCTGAATCATTTGCGCAAATCCTGAACGAACCATCGGCAAAAAGACTCCTGAGACGAGCACATGATCACCAGGCTGAGCCATGCGTGTCACTTCGCCGCGGCACAGCACCGTCATGCTGCGTGGAATGTGACCCACGGGCACCTGGTCACTGTGCTCCTGCATCTTCAGCTCCTGGAACTTGACGAACTTGGAGCCGCGAGTCTGCAGATATAAACGACCACCGGCCTTGTTCACCCGACAATCGTCCGAGGGACAGTCGTGGACGGGTATAAAGGAGAGCGAATTGACAGGCTGATATGTCTCGGAGCCGCAGCGATCGCAGGTGTAGGTGGCCACCACCATCATGGGCTTCACTTCGGTGCAGCGCGTCACAATGCCACGCACCGTGACCAATTTGCCAATCTGCTGGGCCTTCACCTCACGGATGGAGTGCGCCTTCTCCGTTGACTGCGGCTTGAAGCCAACCTGACTGGAAGTGGGGTAATCTCAAATGGATAAGCTTCCCATCAATTAAAATCTGTGCAGTCTACTTACAATCGCTTCATCAGCTCTGTGGGAAAAGCGTTGCGTTCGTCGCGCTGATTCATGGGATTGTGTGTGCGGGCATCCATCATTAGCCGGTGCTCGATGTACACGTCGAGGGCATCCTTGGCGTGCACTTCCTGCTGCTTGTAGCTGGGCAGCAGCTCGGCAATCACATCGCTGAAGATCGCCGCATAGCGACGACAATTCTCGATGACAGCCTCGGCGAGACTCTCATTGAACTCGGCCAGGTCGTCCAGATCGATGGTGATTAACACTTGTTCGCGATGCGCCAGCTTCACCAGTTGCGAGCCATACACAAATTCCTTTTTGCCATCGTCGTCGCATTTGCAGAACTCGGCCAAAAATGTTTTGATCGATTCTGCATTAAATATTTTTAAAACCCATTTGAAACTTTTATTAATTATTGCTCTTACCTCTATCCTGAGCATAGTCACGGCGCGCCATTTGTGTTTGCTTTTAGTTTTTAATGACGCGATAACTTTACTCTTTGCCTACTTGCAGCAAAATATAATCCAAATAGAATCAAAATGCTGCTTGATGCCAGCTGTCTGCCCGCGTTATGCTTTTTTCGCGCCTTTTTTCGTTTATGTGATGCGATACTTATCGATAGGTTTAGCTGATGCAGTGCTGCCACTTGTGAAAGTCACTTTCCATCAAGTTGACAGGCCTCTATCGATACTGTGAACCAGTTCAGTAGTGGCAACGCTCTACTGACCGTTTGAAGTAAATCGATTTGGCGCGTTTATTTTGAATTTCAAATGTAGACGTTTATTGGCATTTTAAATAAAAATAAAATTACAAAAGTGTTATTTTAATATCAATTTGCAACTGCTCAATTACTTTTAGCATTTTTCACGTTGTCAATAAATAGATTGGACTTGCGTTGTTGTTTGTTTTTTTTTTTTTTGTTACATAATTATTTATTGGTTTTTAGGCGTCTAAAAAGTGGTACATTTAATTTTTTTTTGTGCACATTTTTGCATTGGTTATCTTCGAATAGATGAACAAAGATGATTTGCCCATTGTTTTTGTGTTCTTTTTGTGTTTTTGTGGTTGCGGTATACATAAGTTACAGTGTAATATGTTTTCGTTTATGTTTAACTTAAATATTATTAATCACATGCAATAGTTAAATAATAAAAATAATAATTATACATAGTTTAACATACACACACATATATTCATGTGATCGCGTTGATGTTGTTATTTTTAGCTGCGATCTCTTGTTGCTATTAATCAATAGTATGTATATATTCATAGTGTACATATACATATACACTATATATACATAAATATATATATATATATATATATATATATATAGTAAGTAGATCAATTTGTTGTGTTATTATCAATTGTTAATTGGCTACTAACTAAATTTCATGTTTTTGTTTTGTTTTTTTTTTGTCTCGTCAAACAATTTCTTTTTACACATTACATGCTAAATTATTACACTTTACGCGCTAATATCCTATATATATATATATTTATTTATGTATGTATGTATTTATTTATATTGTATTTTTTAAATTTAGTGCTAGCACATTTGCCATAATATTTTTCTGTTCATTCCGATATTTTTTGTTGCATTATGCAGCACAAAACTGATCAAGTCGTGTGAATTTTAGTTAGTTTAGTTGCTAACGATAAATAACTACAGCATTTGCGTTTTTTAAAAAGTTTTTGAGAGGCATTTTTTGGCTTGGTCAAAAGCTGATTCTTCAGTTCTAAACTTTTGACCAAAACTTAACTTAACAAGATGTTCAGTATTTTCTGTTATTTTCCATACATTTTAATAGTATTTTCATATTTGTTTTCTTTCTAGATATTTCGTTTTTTGAATGTTTTATGCATTCTGTGACAATACCTCAAATTGCTTGTTCAGTTTTCGATTGTTTATATTTCATATAATTAATTTAAATAATGCAACATATTAGATAGATACATATATCTATAGATATACATGGGTATATATATATATATATCTCGATAATAGATTTTCATCGTTTCATGCGTATAAAGCTGTAAGTCTTCTAGTTTAATTTCCCAAAAGTAAGTTTACTCAACTAAATTCCATTTATATGTATGCATTTTCTTTCGTTGACTTTTTTTTTTCAAAATTCTTTGAGCTCTCAAAAATTGTTGACAACAATAGTTTGTTTATGTATTTATTTTCTTAGCTAACAGATTTTCAACTTTAAATTCATTATTTTTTTACGTATTCTGTCGATTGAAGAATTCTCTTTCTTTTTCTCGTTCTCTCTCTCTCTCTCTCAAAATGAGCGGTAACAGCAACTATTTGTATTTACTTTCTTTTTTACACCAAAAAGGAACAATTTGCTTTGAACATTGAGCTTTATATATGTGTGTATTTAACGTACTGTATGCTAAATATGTATTTATGTGTTTATATATTTATATGAGTTTGAAGAACTGCACTCGCTAAAGATCGATTTGAGCCTATTTTATTTACTGTTTCTCTTTCTGTTTGTATTTTGTTTATTTGTTTTGTTGTTTTTGTTATTCTTAATGCAAACGTCGCAACACATTTCTTTATATATGGCACAAAAGTCTAGTTGGATTTTCAGCATTTAGGCGCAACAAGGAGGCTCAGCAGTTGAGGGAAAGCTACTAGAAGAAAAGGTGGAGACGCCACAAATAGAGAGACGTACCGCATCTCAATTTGGGTTTATGTTCGATTGTTTTTCATTTTCTGTTTCGTTTTCTTTTTGAAGATTGTTTTGTTGCATTCCAAACGCGCTTCTCGATTGCAAAGTTACACAATTTAGTGCGCTTAGTAGCTATTAAATTAATGATAACAACTTAAGAATTATCCAAATAATAATGTTCATAATAATAATAATAATAATAATAACTAATTGTTTGCATTGCGTCGAACTTTGTGCGCTCGCTCTTTTTAGCGTTCTGATTTGCCTGCGTTTTGCTCTTAGATATATATATATTTAGATATATATATATATTCATTATATATATATATATATATATATATATATGTGTATATATATTTGCGTATATGTGCTTTACTTTTTTGGGATTTGGGTGCTGCTGCTTTAACTACAACTACTGTAGAGTGTTGTGACTAGTGTGAGGAGTAGTAGAAGGCTCGTCGTCGAGAACGTCAGCGTCGAGGCAGAACCTGCCTTTGAATTCTCGCGCGATTCGATATCGTTGTTAGAGATGGGCGTGGTGCCAGACGGGTCTTCGAAATTAGATGTGGGTCCTGCGAAATAACAGTTTGCGTTTAAGTACGCCCGTTACATATGAAACAATGTGTGAAAGCAAACTTACCGTCGCCCGAGCCATCGCCGGAGGCGTGTATGCCGTACTCCTCATCGTCGCTGATGTGACCCACTCCGCCGCCACCGCCGCCGGAACCCTCGCGACCCATGTCGCTCTGTATATCATGATTGCTCGAGAGTGGCGCCTGCACGGGGAAAGGGTGAATTGTATAATTGGTATGCAGTTGTTCAGGTTTTAGTCCTTCACTTACCGATACGCCGATGCTCTTGCGAATCTTGATGAGCTTGTCCACCAGCTCGTTGAGTTTGGTGATCTGCGATTGATCCTCCAAGGGGACCTCCGGATTGTAGCGCTGTGTATCCGTGCCGGGCGTTATCAGCAGCTGTGTGTATTCCCCAACGCGATCTCCGGTCCAGCAGAGATGATCGTTGCGTTGAGTATAATCCTCATCACAGTAGCTGTTATTATAGAGAAAAACTCAGTTAGCTGACTTTATTTAATCTCTCTCTCTCTTTCTGTTTAAACACTCTACGTCACTCTCTCATCAGTCAGTCAGTCCCATTTAGCAACACAAACGGAAAACAGCTCGTGTTTTTTTTTTTTCAAAAAATTCCGTAAATTTTATATACTTAAAGGAAGAGCCGGAAAATGTTCAAAGAGCTTGTACTGTTTGTGCACACAACGGTTCGCAATTTTTTCCTGGCTCAATCTGGCCAAGTCGCCCGAGGCGTAAGTATTATAATAAGTCTTCTGTTTGTATTCTATAATCTATAAATGGATTCATTATTTTTAGTCTGCCTGCCGTCCTTTGATTAAGAACCGCTGGTGGACCAATGTGATCTTCTTTATTGCGGTATTCACACCGCTCTATGTCTGTCTGCTGAAGGATGTGTTTGGGCTGCTGCGTGACTTGAACTACAAGGCTAACAGGAACGATTAGGTCATGAGTGCTGCAGGATGTCCTTCAGCCTACAGTCACACACAGTGTATATATATTTATATATATTTATATATAAATGTGTTTGTTGGTCAGAGTTTCGAGTAACAGCAATAGTTAAATAAATATATATTTGTGTCGGTTTTTGGACGTCAATCTCGTTGGGAACACTTACTTGTAGACAATGTTGGTGAAGAACTCCTTGGACTTCTCGATGGTGGACAGAAAGTGAACGATGCCCGCGTCTGGTGGCGTGGCCCACTTGATGGTGCCATGTTGATGCATTGGATGCGCCTCCGGGGCGGTCAGCGAGGGCAGCAGATTGGGCGTGCCACATGTCTTGGACACCTGAGAGAGAGAGAGAGAGAGAGAGGGAAGAAAAGCAGGTTAGAGTTGTGCATGTTAATATCCATTTCCCGTGTTTGACCCGTGTTGCTAATCGCAGCCACGCATGCATGTGTTGTCCACAGCTGCCCCAGCTCGTGCCACACACCATGTCGCGTTGCATGTTAATTGCAACTTGCTGAAGATTCGGCACTCTGCTGCGCTGCATAAATGCCATCTAATTGAACATTTAAAATCCATGTTGACATTCCACTTAACTGTACCCCAAAGTCAACAACGATCAAACTGGTTGCATGGCGGCACATCCGCCCGAAGGCCACTCATAAAATTCATTTAAATGCTCATAAATTGAGCTGTAATTGAAGCCTTTACGTCGCTGTACATTGCGAACAAGCTTGTTTTCAGTACAGGGGAATTTGTGAAGCTAAATAAGTCAACCAAACCTAAAATTTCGCAAATTTAACGATTTTCTTTAGAGAAAAACCACTCGATAACAATCATTTCTATGCATTTTCAGTTGAAATTATTAAATCTAACAGATTAGCTTAATGTAAGCTTCAAGATTAAACATATTTGAGAATGTGTGTGTTCTGTTCTTTAACAGAAAACATTGAAGAACATTGACAAACACAATTTTAACTTCTTTTAGTTCACATTTTCCACAGATTTTGAGCACAAGTATCCAATACTATTAAAGTGCGAGAGAGACTGAGCTGCAGAGCTCGTTGGAGAGATCACGAAGCGAGCTAATCAAAAGCAGTAATTGGTTTAATATTGCGCGACTTCGTCTCAATGGAACAAAAATAGCTGCTAATTTATGCAATTAAAGTAATAATAATACTTAAAGTGTGTTAATGTGATGCAGCAAATGTAATTGACAATATCACAGTATTGCCGTGTAATTATTTAAAAGTTTTTTTTATGCGCACTTGCGAGCAACAAAGTGACTATTTGTTAAAAACAAAGATGTAAAAAGATCAAATCTAAGTAGAGACTGAGCTGACTTTGCTGTTTTTGTCTTTGTTTTGGCTTTGGTTGCACAGTTTGTTGTTGCCTCTAGTTTTTATTTGTTATTTTTTCGCGCGTGCTTTGTGGCATAGAAAATGTAAAGTGTAAAGTGGAGTTCATTTTGAAAGGAACTTTATTAAGTTGTTGCTGCAGCTGTCAGTAAGTGCATTATTATTTAGAATATTCTTTTTATTATTTCTACACAGTCTTGTCTTGTTTCTTCTAGTTTTCAAATCATCTTTGTCATTTGTTTAATTTGCAAGTTTAATACTTGATTATTCTCCACAATTTCAACTCACCTTCTTCTCCAGCTCTGGTCCATTTTCCATAGCTCGCATAATGGCCTCGGACAGTTTAGTGTCCAGCTGTTTGATGGTGCTCATGATGCCGCTATCGGAGCGTATGTGTGTGGCCACCAGATTGTCCAAAGCCTCCACAACATTTGACCAGGGACTGTCCAGGAGTCCCGAGTACTGGGCAGAGCAACCACTATATAAATGATGGATAAGTCATTAGCCTCGTTTGACTGGAAATTAGATTAGATAAGCACACTCACCGCATCACATTCATGCAGTAGCTGTAGCAGACCTTGGGCCTGTTGTGCTCCTGGTGCCCATTACAGTTGGGACAGTAGTGCATCTTGAGTAGATGCAATTTGCACGTATCCGTCATCTGTTTGCCGTAGAGCGCATCGGTTTCGCTGAGCACCTCGGCACTCTGGAGCAGGGCGTTCATAAAGATGTTGGACATGTGCACGCTCTGCAGCAGATTGGCCTGAATTTCCTTGGGTATCTGGCCAAAAGGCTGCAGGTCATCGTAGTTATGCCTCAGGCAATTCGTGTAATCGTCATGCAGCTCCCCATAGTTGTCCTTGGTTAAATGCACCGCCTGATGGTAGGCAACGGGAAACAGGTGCTCGAAGAATCTGTGCAGTGCATCCTCCAAACTGCTCTGACTGTTCAGGATGCTGTTGCCCTGACCATTATTGCTGCTGTAGTTCGACGTGTACTTCAAATGACTGATTAAACACAGAAAATGTGAGACAGAGAGAGAGAGAGAGAGAGAGATAATAATGTTTTATTTTGTTACTTCCCGACAGGCTTTATCCTTTTACATACTTGATGATTTCCGTATAGAGCTGATGTATCAACTTCCGCGACAGTGGCACCATTCGCCTATAGACCTGTGAGAACACATTTAACGTTTTATTCTCCGACTGCTCCGCCAGCTCCAGAACGTGACCTAAGAGAATACCAGAAACCAGCAAAAAAACGAAAGGAAGAAAAAGAAAAAGGAGGAGGGAAGAGAAGAGAAGAGAAGAAGCAGAAAAAATGTTTGTATTATTGTTTTGTTCGACATTGTAGTAAAATTTAATCACTCTGTTTCTTGCAGTTCCCCTTTTGCTTTTGCGAGTGCTGCTGGGATTTCGTCTTCAGTCGGCGGCTTAATGGCCTTTCTGGGATTTGTTATCAGGGCAAAAGTTTGCTCCTATTGTTTTGCGTTGCTTTTAGTTAATTAAATCAAATTTATTTTGGCCAACTGCCTGCCTCTAAGATGCTGTTTATCAATTATTCATGGAAATCAATATCAGCTTTGCGGCTGGTCCCTTATCTGATTACCATTTATATGCAGCTTATGCGACTTGCTTGTATTATAATTGGATCTTAAATGTGTACTTTAGAAAAGTATAAATAAGCGAGTTGTTTAAAGTATTAAGCAAAAAATAATGGTATACATATATTTTACAGTGCAACACGCAAATTGGCATTATTCCGATTCATTTATCACAAGTCGCGTGTGTAATTTAGCCGATCAATCAATCAATCAATCAATCTATGGCCCCCAATCAACAATCGAATCTTTTGCCACGCTTTCGAAGCCCCAAATCAAGCTAGAGAATGCTAATCACAGTGCTGCACAAAATAATCTGTCAATGTGTCAGCGAAATCTGTCTCGATTCGATTTGGGTATTATATTATTGATTGACAGTCAGTATAAAAATACACCTGATAGACAGACGGGCTGGCGGCCGGGCAGACAGACAACACTTGCAACTCGCAGCTGGTGTCTCGTTATAATCGCAGCTAATACAGCGATTACACATACCTAAAAAAAAACCGTTTGTCAATCTGAAAATCTGCATGACACACAACGCCTCGGTTTTTAAATAAAGTGTCAATCTTTTTGTTAATTGGCAAATGCCAACAAGCAAAACAAACTGAAATCTCAAAATGAAAATAAAACACTCGCAAAGTGTTTTCTTGTGCTCATCGCAACAAAGTTGTGTGGTGTTGGTGTTATTTTTGTTGTTGTTGTTGTTTTTGTGGTTGTTTTTGTTGTTGCTGCAAAGCATTTCCGTTCTCAGCCTTGGGTTCAGTTTTGGGCTTGGCTTGTTATTCTGTCTGTCCCTCCGTCTGTCTGTCTGTCTGGCTGTCAGCCTACCTCTTTATCGGCTAATGGCCTTGCGTCAGAGTTTACCCCTTTTAATTAGCCTTTCTGCGATTTGCTGGCTTCGCTGCGAATAGACGAGAGTCCACCAAAGCATTTGGCCAGCTAATCATTTCTCAATGGTCGCTGTTAATTGCACAGAGAGCAAGATATAGGAAGAGATGAGGAGAGCGAGAGAGAATGAGAGTGAAGGAAATCGAGAGACTCAAACAGTCATATATCAATAACTTAGTTATTGTTCAATTAATTATGAATGGCAATTGCTTGCAATTCGTGTGTCTGTCCCGCTCCACACCCCACCATCCCCTTCTACTCCCCTCCGCCCCTGGCGAACACATACACAGACACAGACACACATCCTGCCGCTAGTCGTATTGAGTTATTGGCCACAAATGAAGCCGTTAACTGGCGGATGCAGTATTTAATAATAAACACGAAAGCTTTAAATGCGTTGAAGCTCGCAAATATTCACACATTAATTGTAATTGTAATTGCGCAAAGTAATTGTAATTGTGATTGTAATTGAAAGCGTAGCAGCAGCTGCACTCAATTCGTTGATGCAGCAAAAGTGTTGGGAGGTCAACTGAGAAAGTGTTGACAGCCTGTGTCAGTCAGAGCTTTATGCCCCAGCAATGTCAGAGTCGAAAGTTGAATTTCAAATAGCAAACAAGGTTAAAGCTGTCAGTTCAAGCTGTCAAATTGGCGAGTGGCAAAAGCCAGCATATAAATGCATTTATTTTTGTTGAAATCACTTTTGTATCAAGCTCACTTGACTCTGGATTTTGTAAGCCAATATATATTAATAGTCTTTATTGTTTGTTTATAATTATAACTTAACTACAACTGGAAAACAAAGTTTAAACACGTGAGAAGGCTGTCCTGGAGACAGTTTGACAAGCAGAAGAATATACGAAAATACCTATGAGATAATAAGAAAATACTTTTTGGCACCTAAAATAGGCTTGCTGATGTTAATTTCATCAATATGAAAATGAGGTTTGCTTAGCAAAATTTGACAAATATAACCATATATAATTTATATTTTTTTATCAGCTACCCATTTTAATAATTGAGTTTGCAGAAAATTGTTATTGATAGCGTTGGAGATGTGCAGCATTGTAATTTATTTTGATCAGTTCTTGGCAACGCATATGTCGTTAAGACATTTTGCTCTCAAATTGCCATTTGGCACTTGTTAGCGTACTGTCTGCGTATACTTAATGTTATTGCAGCTCCTTTGTCAGCCTAATGTGAACAATTAAGTTGAGGTATTCACACAACCCACACTCAGACGGAAAACCGTTAACCTCAGGCTGCTAAATGCATAGAGCTACATTTTGTAGCCATATGTCTAAAGATACAATACAGCAATATATATATATATGTGTGTGAATGCGGGCTGACAGTTTTCACCTAAGGGCAGACTTGAAACTACAACAGCCAGCCAAACTAATTGCAATTTGTGTGTGTCTCTCTCTCTCTCTCTCTCTCTCTCTCTCTCTCTCTCTCTGTCTATCTGTATTTCTGGTTGTGTGTGCTGGGAATTAATAAAGGCCTCGATTATGGTATACGAAATACAGCAAATGCTTTTTGGTCAAATGTGACATGAAAATTTCATTAGACGTCAGGTTAGTTTTTTTTTTTTCCTTTGGTTTGCTGGCTGCAATTGGAACTTTGAGCACACTAATGACCAAAGCGAACATGGAGATTGAATTAGACAAGGCTGCAGCAAAGTGTGGTGTGGCCAAAATGGGAAGAAGTAGAGCCGAGCCCACGCCACAAAAAAAAAGCACCAGGTAGGCACAGGCCGGCAGCCACTGAGAATCCATTCAGGTTGCTTAGCTCCAAAGTTCTTCAGGTATTCATAGAGCAAATATTCGAGCGCTAGGCTTCATTGCTTCATTAGAAGGAGGAGGCAGCAGCAGCAGCAGCAGCAGGAGCAGCATGGGGAGGCAGGCAGCAGAGACGGGATTAGCATGGCGGTCCAAGAGGTTCGTCCAAGCAGCAAGAGTCGACCGGTTCCGCGCCTCGGGGCACGGCCCAGCCTGTTGCAGGGGTGCAGGAGTTAGCGGCAGGGGCAGAGGGCAGGGTTTAGGGCAGCAGATGCGACCGCGATTCGCAGTTGGCGGCGTTCTCTGTTTTTGTTTCCCACGCCATGGCAAATAAATGTATGCAGGGATAGCCCACAGCTTTGGTTTTATTCTTTTCTCTCTTTTTTTTTGTATGTGTGTGTGTGTGTGTGTAGTTTAAGCTTCTCTTCTTTTTTTTATTGTATATTTTATTTCACTCGGTTTTTTTTTCCTGTGTGCGGATATTACAATTTTAGTATCTGGCATTTTTTTATTTGCATTTATATGTACACATGTATTTCTTGATTTTGCTGCGCATCTAGTCGAGTTTAGTTTCAGTTTGAAATGTGGCACGTTTTGTGTTGCACAGTGGGCAACACCCGGTGTGTGTGTGTGCGTATGTGTTTTTACAAGCGTCTCTCTGCACTCGTCATACACTGATTGGGGACTGTAAGGTGCAGCAAAGTGCAAAAATAATTATAGCATTGGTTCGCTCTCTGCTATCTCTGCTCTATGATAATTGCTGTTATCTGCATCAATACGAGGCGGAGGCCACACTGTGCACCAACCAGAGTTGCACAGTGCTTAGATGCTTGTGTTGTAACTAGCTATTCTGCGCTGGGGCAGGCGTGCCAACTCGGGCACGCCCCTTTGGCAACGACTTGACTCGACTTGACTTGACTCCGAGTTGAGATGACTCGACTCGACCACTTCAACAGCTGTGGGCAGCTCAAGCTCTCATCTCTCATCTGCCTCTTGCTCTTCTTCTTCTTCTTTGGTATGCCGTTCACAATGTCAAAATAATTGGATGACTTTAGCAGCAGCAGCAGCAGCAGCAGCAGCAGCAGCAAGAGCCTCTCGACTTCACTAGTCGTGACTGAACTTCATATTTTTCGTCATATTGAAAGTGCTTCAAAGCATACGCATTAATTGTCTCCTTTTTGGAGTTTGTAATCACCATCATCCAGCTCTCGTACTCCTCTCAATATTCCACTTTTGGATATTCCGAGTTGAGCCTCTAATTAAAAGTGTGCGCTTCAAGCAACATTCTACATTCTGGTTAGCAACTAATTATAAATAACATTTGTCGGTTGGGCAGACAAAATGGCGCCGTGGCAGATGCCTTTGGCAATAAGTTAATGAAACCTGTTGCGCAGTTTTTTTTTTCTGCTTCGAAAATCTGTATAATTTGTTGCTATCGCAAATTGTTTTACTCCATTCATTTTGAGCTTTTGTTTTTGGTTAAATAAATACATACTTATGAGCTGGTTTTGGTGGCGTTATCAGAATCAGACTATTATTTATCTAAAGAAATTCATTGAGTAACTTAAGCTGCAGTTCCAAGGTCAACCATTTGCACTGCATACATATTTGAATTTAAATGTCTTCCAATAAGAATTGTGTTAATTGGCAGCAAACACGTTTTTTTTGAAACGGCAAATTTATTGGCTTAGCAGCTTGTATTCCAGTTGTGATCATCATTACCATCACTGGCAAATCCCGAAATACAAAACTTCATTAGTGTTTGCAAGAATGCAGCAGCAGCTTAACTTCAATTTCAAGTTGAGAGCTGTAAAATATAATGACAACAACCACTGCAACCATTGCAACCACTGCCAAGCGCTGCCGAGTACTTGAAGTGGAGCGTTGGCCAACAACAAACAAGCAACCAACTATCTAACAGCTTCACTCTGTGACAGGGCAAACAAAAGCAGTTAACAAACGATGACGGCCAAAAACCACTTTGCCCCGTTAAAAACAACAGCAGCTTTTGCTGAAGCGAGCTAAGCACAAGATATGGCCAAAAGCAGACTTGGGCTAACTTAAGAGAGGCAACAACAACAACAACAACAGCAACAGTGGAATGTGCCACGAAAGTTGCGACTTATGAAAGTGCACGCACTGCCAACTGTTATTGTTGTTGTTGTTGTTGTTGTTGCTGTTGCATTGTAGAAATGCGAAAATATAAAAACCAAACGAATTTGTGCCATTTTTTTGTTGCTTCTTCTGCTGTTGCCGTTGCACAAAGGGCCAAAAAGTTTTTGGTTTGTGGCAGGCAGCCAAACTGGCTGATCGGTAAGTCAGCATTTGGAACTTTTATGCAGGCGCACGCCCATTTTGCGACGGAGCAAAAGGCGGGACGGTTTGGTCAGGCAAACGCATTAAGAAAGTGGTAAGTGAAGGGTGAAGGGATGGTCGGGGTCGGTTGGGTGTGCGTGTGTGTATGCTGTAAGATGTGTGTTTGTAATAAGTGCAATGGAGACATACGGCATCTTGCTGCTGGCGAGGTGGAGGCTGCCCGAAAGGGGGGTTTTTGTGGCATAATTCGTAAGCTGCGAAACGTGTTTACACACGCAAATACTTGCTTAAAAATAATACGGGGCATGCATTCGCACAAAAGCAGCAGAACGAGAAACAGCGGCAACAACAACAACGACAACAACGTCAGCAATAAGCACAACAAACAACAATGTAAGCCAGCATACACATGCAACTTGGCGTGGCAGCAACGCAGAGCACAAACAACAATCAGCCAGGAAACGGAAAGAAGTAGCAGCCGTTTTAAAGGAGGGTGTAGGTAATGCGGCTGGAAAGCGCAGCACTCGATGCTGTAGTTGTAGTTGCTGTTGCTGTTGCTGTTGCTGTAAAGCGGTGGCACTAAATAAAAATGCACATTTTTTCTGTTAACAACCAACAACAACTAAATATATTTTATGCGTAAGTGTACCAAGGTAAAAACAAAAAGCGATATAAATATAAATATGAATATAAGCAAAAAATGCATAAAATCTTATAGTTGAGCATTTGGCGCAGAGTTGCACGTTTGCTAATATTACGCATACGCACGGTTGTGCAAAACGTGCCACGAACTAAATGAATTTTTACGAGTTAGCCTGTGAAGACATAAACGAAACGCATTATGCCAAATCCCCAGGCCAAGTTAACAAATCACTAAATGGCTTAAAGGCTACACAGCATTTTGTACTGCTGTTAAACAAATTGTTTGACATGCATAAATTATGTGTAACCCAAATAAATATATATATATTTATAATTCCTTTAATATGCATTATCCGATTAAGAAACACATACAAAATGCTTAAATAATAAAATAAAATGTTTAATAACGAGTGAGCACGACTGCCATATACCCTGAGCCCAGTTGTTGAAATTGTGGCTTTTATGGCTATCGGAAATTGATATGTATCGATATACGCCTAACGTGTGTTATCGATAAGGCGAAATAAACTAAATAAGTCTCTAGTCGCTGAGATCCGCTGATATTTCTGTGATGTTTCCTTCTGCCGGTTACATTCTTTTGCACAAAATCATTATACCCTATTTACCAATATCAGGGTATGAAATTCAATTCGCACGCCTCATGCATTTTTCAATGTCCACGCCTACATTTTTTTTATTCCCTCCATATATTTTTTATGTCGACTTTATCGCTCATCAGCGAAATAAGTTGCAATTGAAAATATAATTTCATGTTCATGTCTGTGCAAACTTTCAGCTAAGTGATTTGACCGATTGAATATTAATTTTTATTTTTTGCATTTCAATTCTACGTGTAATACTTAAATGTGCTGCGCTTGTCAAGCGTCAATGTGACATCATGCAAAGTCAACAAATGCCAACTGAATATTAAATACGTATCCCCTCGGCAGTATGGGAAAAATAATCGAAAGTTCTTGAATGAACATCATAAAAGTTAAAATCAATGAAAGACATTGTTTAAATGATATGGGAGAGTCATCAAATACATACAAAAGTTATTTAGAAATGGAGCTCGGAAACACTAAGAAAATCGCATTGCAAACTTCAAAAATTTAATTATATAATTTAATGTTCAATAATTCATTATGTAAGTAACAAAAAGTCTATGTATGCATATAAAAAACCTTGCAAATTAAACAATCTACATTTTAGATGTAGAATTATAAAAAGAAATACAATGGTTTTTTAAAAAGCACAATATACTATTGGATTTTTTTCCTGTGTGCACGCGGACTATAAAAAAAACACAAAAGTCGGTTGCAGCAAATAAAAAATGTTTAAATATTTAATGCGCGCCCATTTCCAAGAACTGCAGCCGACAGTCAACAGCCAAGAGCAACAACAATATATATTTATATATATATATATATATATATATATATATAACGTATATATATCGAGAACAGCGCCCAATGAGTTGGAGGCACGCCTTAAAGCGAGATTTACAACATGTACGACAACAATTTTCAGGCATTGAAAAGTTCTGCTGCTGCTGTCCTAAAACGTGACCCAAACAAAGTTTGCAAATTGTCTAAGAGGCGATGAGCAACAAAACAACACAACCCAAACAACAAAAAAAACAACAACAATAACAACCATATTTAATGCCTTTTTAATTAGATGCAGACACTTTGTTGCATTCCAAACAGCTATGGAACGGAGAATGAGCTGGCTTTGGATATGGATTGGCATAAGGTATAAGGTAGAAGGTATATACTTATATATATACATATATTTAAATACATAAAGATATAGACAGGTATATTGTCGTAAAGTGGCTTTGATCTGCATACGAAATGCAAATTACAAATCAATTTCGCGTTTCAAGTTTAATTTTGTTAAATTCACTTGGCAAGCCAAAAGTTATCATCATAATTTTTGCAACCCACGCTCATATTTGCATATTATAAATAATTTATTGCCACGAAAAATATATGTTTTTTTTTTTTTTATATTTTCGCCACGAAACTTTTCAGACTTTGCGACTGACTGTGACTCCGAGCCTGACTAAGTGACTGGCTGGATGGCTGTTTCTGTGGCTGCCTAATTTGCATAAAAGCGTTTGCCATTTGCCAGTCGCCGGCTTTCAGTTTTCAGTTGCACTCATTTCAAATGCGATTCATAGATTCATCTACTAGTTGTATACTATTATTATTATTATGTACTCACTCTGAAATTGGCTGGCTGTGGTCTCGAGGATGCCGCGCAGGCTGCTCGTATGATGGTGCAGTAGTTGCTCAAACTTGCCGGCAGCCTTGTGGCGCAGCTCCAGTTCGGTGGCATTGCTGCAGCAGCTGCCCCCACATGTGGCGCCTGCAAATACAAAATAAATTCAAACCAACAACAACATTAGTAAAACGCACACAAATTAAACTCTGTTTACAATATACAGTCTTAAGTCTTTAGAGACCACAGCGCTTGTGGTCTACAAAAAAAAATCTCTTCCGTCATGCTGTGTTCGATATCATCTTCAAATTATCGTTTATATATATTTTTTTTGTGTGTTGTGTCTGTGCGTGGGTGCGGTGCCTCGCTTAATTGTTTATGGCTCAAAGCCTTTGTGGCGCCACCCATCACGTTGGCATAATACGCGTGGGTTTCTTTACATTTATATACGCACACAAAAATACAACAATTTTATTTTGTCTTTCGTTTCGCTCAAGCTACTTTAATGTTTCATCATTGACGGTGCGGTTTTAATAACTTTTAAATTGCTCGTAATTGCGAATTTGTTGCTCACAGCTCCTCCTTCAACTCATAAAAGCGGAGACATTTTTTTTTTGTTGGCTCCCATCTGTCAGCTGGCCTGCTTATAAATTAAGCTGGGACCATACAACGCACAGCGAGTGACATAAAATGTTAACAATTTTCACCCAATGACGACATTTTCTAATAAAAGGCATACCCTGTGTTTAACTTTCTAATTTTTGACAAGCAAATTTACATGACAAACAATGATTGTGGGTGTTAAAGTTTATCTATGTGTATATCTTTATGCTGATTCCTTAAATAATTCTTTTCGACTTTAAAAGAGTCGGAAATGCAATTTGTGTCAATTATTTCTAGGGTTTTATTACGCTTAAGCAAACATTATATTAATTAAATGCCTCTTTATGCGACAGGTTGTTGCAGCTAATATTTTTCCCCTCGAGTACAACAGAAACAACAATAAATTTATGGCCTAGATAGTATATATGAGTGTGTGAATATGTGTTAATAGTTTTGCTGCTGCTGGTGCTGCCATGTGACAATTGAGTTGGGTTAGATAACTGCGTGGAAGAGCGGGAAGAGGGGGAGCCAGGCAGGCGTGGGCTGATGACACGCATATCATGACAACTGCAATGACAATGACAACAACTACAACAACAACAACAACAACAACAACAACAACAACAACAACAGCAGCAGCAACAACAACAACAATAATAGTCCATAAAACTACAAACTGGGCGCTTTGAGCAATCGACTTATATGGCAATAGATTCATCTTCTGTTTATGTATTGCCTATTTGGCTTTTATAGTTTATAATTTAAATTAATGGTTTTTACATGATGTTTATGAGTTGTGCGCTGCACCTATATATGCATATATATTAGCCCCGATTAACTGGCCATATGCTGTGGCCATAAAACAAAATGAATTTGACAAAACAGACTTTAAACAGAGACTCGTTGTCGCAGCGACAGCAATTCATCAGCAGGCTATATTTAAGTTATAGCCCACAGCAGCAGAAATACATACTAGCTGGAGGCAACAAACAGTAGCTGCTTGTTGTCAAACGTGATGGGGAGGTGGCAGGTGGCAGGCGGCAGGCAGCAACTGGAGAAACAACACGACGTGGCGCTGTCGCATCGCTGGCCGCAAAACCATGACACATATTTGCCATGAGTCGTTTGCATTGCCAATTCAGCAACAGCAAAATGAAATGGAAAATTAAAAGGCGTTGCACACAAGTGTGGCAAACTAAATATAACGCGCGGCACAAAATAATATGACATGCAAGGCTAACAGAAATGTGGCAAGCAAAAAAGTGAGCTGCAGTCAATTAAAGCTAATACATTTGGCATCTGGCAAACATTTTCACACATCTTGAAAGCTTGAGCAACCAGCAGCAGCAGCAGCAGCAACATAACATTTGTGTGGCCACACCACATAATTTTGATGAGTCATAAAGTGCAATCAATCATTTGGTAACCAAATGGCAAATTTGGCAGCTGTGTGTTGCATTTAAAACGAGAGTTTGCCACTCGAATTGTGAGACTGAGTTTTAGACTTTAAGGCCATATTTGCAATGGCGTGTTTATGCGTGAATTGCTGCTCATAAATCAGGCAGGCCCAGTGTGTGCTTGAGGACAGAGGCAAGCAAAGGCAGCCAAGGCAGCCAAGGCAGCCAAACAACCCACATGGCAACAGGCCAGCTCCGTTGTCAGACTCGGCGTCAGTCAGTCTAGCACCAAAACAAAACAAAAAATGTTTTGGTTCCTTCTCCGGGGCTTCCTGCTGCAACGGCAGCTGCTGCCGTCGCCTCTGAGACTGGCTGTAACTTAAACCTCGCCCTGGGACCAGCACAGCTCACACTGAAATCAACCAAGTTGTGTATACTGTTTAAATTTATAAAAAAATACAATAAAAACACACACATTAAATGAATGTGGTTCGTAGCAAATGCAATTTCTTAAGGTCAAACTTTGTTTTCGTGGCGAAAAGAAAACTTTTGTTGGGTTTCTCGCACAGCCATCCCACTGTGCTTGGAAATGCTCCGTTTGCTGTTGCTGCTATTCGCTTCATTGCTTTGTAGCTCAAGAAGCAGTAGAAATTCAATTGAATTGTCGCAACGTGACATACACACACACACACACACACACACGCATACGTCAAGAGTTGGCCCAGAAAAGTATGCTAGGACAAAGTATTTCCAGACTACAGCAGGCAGCTGGCCAAATTGCAGTTTGAGGCTGAGAGCTGGGGCATGGTGTAAAAAATGTAAATCTCATGCATGGCCAAAAACGGTGCCTGCCAAAATGTATGAGTTTTATGCCCGGCCATGACCGCAGGGCAAGTGGGCGTGGCACAAACGCCTACACACTCAAATGCTCTCATGCGCCTTTCTTTCACTTATGACTGCCACTGCTGCTGCAGCTGCTGTTCATGCAACTGCTGTTGTTGCAACTGCTGTTGTTGCAACTGCTGCTGCTGCTACGGCTGCTGCTGCTGTCTATTTTCGTCTCTTGTTTTGTAGCCTGTCAACGCAGCAGCAGCCAAGCATGCAACGTGTGCGAATTTGTTTACTGTAATTGTCTGCAGGCCTTTGGATAGGCATAGAAGGGTCAGGTGGTGCGGTGGTTTTGCATTGGTTTTAGACCATTTTGTGCCATTGTATTTTATCCTACACACATTGCCCAATGGCAAAAGCCTATGTCGACTGCCGACTGTCGACATTATCAGACTTGGCTGTGAGCCAAGAAAACGCTTAGCCCGCAAAACACTTGGCTCCGAGGCAGGCTTAGAATACCTTGACATAATTCGGTTGTCCTTCAACCCTCCACACTTCACATAGTACCTATATCTTACTACATAAATGCTGTATGCGTTTTCAATTTTAGCAAACTAGCTCTAAATGTGTTGAGATTCGTAAATTTGTTCGTCGACAGCTCCAATGTGAGAACACCAGCAGAACACACCTCTGTGCATATATGTGTGGGTATGGAAAAGTTTGACTGTCTTCTTCTAATTAAAGAAAATGCTTACTAAGTGCAAAAGTTTAGTTTTGACTGCTGCTGAGCCGCGAACTTTTTAGTTATACTGTGTTTTTATGCTCATTTCGAGAAAAACAATGCTGCACATGTTTGAACAACTGCGTTAAAATGCACATCCTTCTGTTCTTATGAGATTCGTTTTTAAGTTCCCAGGGCGCAATAAACGAAAACAAAATTTCAAAAGTTTCCATTGCCATAACTTTGATATAACTACCGATTTCCGAAAGCCGAGGCTTTTTAATCGTATCTTGATCTCTAGTTTAATACTGCATATGAAGTTCAAAGCGCGACTCTGGATCGAAACTCATGCTTTCAATTATTCCCCCTCAATTATGCCTTCAAAAAAGTCTTCTGTGGATGGGGCAAATCTTTCCACATCCATTACTTTTTTGAAAAGCAATACTCTTGATTAATTCTTAATATGAAATACGTGCATTTATTGTCTGCTGCACGCTACGTGGTTTTTCAGAAAAACAAATAGCCCTTTGGCTAAGTATATCATAAATATTTTTCCAAAATAATAACATTTTTCTACAGAAATTTATGGTCTTGATAGAAAATCAATTTGTGTACAAGCACATAAACCAAACACACACACACAGACCACAATAGACCGGCAATGCAAGAGCGAAACACTATCGACAGCTCGCAGGCCAGGCCAAGAAGTCAACTATTGGCCAGGGCCATAAATTGTAAATGAAATTTATAATCAACAGCAATAACAAGATGAAGAAGTATAAGAACTTCACATTGAATGGTTTCCACTGTTCGACTGCCATTCGGTGCACAAATAAAAACATCCGCCTGGTCTTTCAGTGTGTCCCCCACTGCTGCGTGTCAAGGGGCGTTTAATAATTGTTATCAAAAATTGTTGACCACTTGTCAAACACCAACAATTTGTGCAGCGGCAGGTGCGATAACGATTAAGTCAACAAATGCGGCAAAAAGAAATGTAATAGTCCAACGTATCGGAAGGAGAATGGAAATAGAAATGGGAATGATAATGAAAATGAGAACGATAGAAATAAGAAGGGGAATGTTATAGCCAACTAGTTTTAGATTCTATCGATATGCTTGAACTGTTCTATGTATACACTTTATGGTTCGTTGAGTTCTGTTATTATTATGACAAGTTTATTGTTGCTGTTGTTGTTGTTGTTGTTGCTGGTTGCTTGTGGCTTGTGTAGATCACCATCAGCAGTTTGTGGCAGATCTTTCGTGTGGCAACCAGAATCGGAAAATGGTTCGTTGAACTGTGTTCCAGTCTAGTTAAACATTGTAGCTACCAAAATAAACCAGGTACAATTATTTTTGCAACGTTATAATTTGTGTTATGTTATCGCGAACACTTTGAATCTTACTTATATCAGCAACCAACTGCTGATAATATAAATGTATTTTTAAGTTGATATCTGATACGAATTTGTTTACTACACGTATTGTATAACAAACAAATTAATTTGTATATTTAATTTGTTTCTCTTCTGCCTTCAATTAAACTTATTCCCAGGAAGTCAAATTGCGATTTGTTTTCGCATTCGAATTGCGTATTCTTT